TAGCCTCCTGCGCAGACGTTGTTAGTGGCCGAGGCCTCACCTAACGTCTGCTCACATTCGCCACACATTTGACTTCCCGGCAATTAACCAATCACAATCATCTGCACGATAACTGGAAGATCGACCTTCAATGACCTTCACATGCATGGGCTATTATCAACAAGTCTGTAGTATTTTTAAATTTGAAAGTTTTAACACTGCGCATCAGAAAAAGGCTTTTCAGTCTATTATAAACGAAAAGAAGGATGTTTTCGTATATCTCACAACTGACGCAGGAAATCACTTATTTATCACGCCGTTACCGAAGCTATTCGATGTAATATTCGGATTTAAATATTTAAACAAATTGTAAACATCGTAAACATTTAGTAATCGTGGTTTCGCCATTGATAAATTCAATACGAGATCAAGTTAAAAAACTACACGATCTAGGAGGCAGTGCTGTGTCATTATCAAGTTGAATCGAGAGTGATAAAGAAGCGAAGGCATTGGAAGAAGGAAATATTCTGACTGTATTAATGGCACAGCAGAGTCATTGTTGAAGACCGAACGATGGAGACGAATGCTTAATAACAACAAAGTGTACGTATAGCAAAATGGTTTGTGCTTTGGCTATTGATGGATGAAGCTCATGCGATTAAAGAATGGTATGTATTATAATAAATCCTAAAAATGTGGACACAGGAATCGATCGGGCTTGGCCATTTTAATAGTCGTTAATATTTTATATTGTTTATTTAAATTGAATTTGTCTTTTTATACATTGCCTCGTATTATATATTACATGTAGTACTAGCATGCAAGTTTATATGAGCCTTTCAATTATGAGGGGTTTACATCAGAGGGTTGGGGTATGTATATTAACTATAGAGTGGCTCATAAACTTGCTAGTGCTACGTGCAATAGATAATACGAGGCAACGTATAAAAAGAAAAATTCAAGACAATATAAAATAACGACTATTAAAATGGTCAAAGCCGATCGATTCCTGTGGCTTTGAGAGAATTACAAATGCGAACACATGTTTAGGATTTATTATAATACATGCTGAAATGAGCTTCATGCATCAATAGCCAAAGCACAAACCGTTCTGCCATACACTTTGTCTTCAACAATGACTCTGCTGTGCCATATAAAATACAGTCAGAATATTTCCCTTCTTCCAATGCCTTCGCTTCTTTATCGCTCTCGATTCAACTTGATAATGACACAGCACTGCCTCCTAGACCGTGTAGTTTTTTAACTTGGTCTCGTATTGAATTTATCAATGGTGAAACCACGATTACTAAATGTTTACGATGTTTACAATTTGTTTAAATATTTAAATCCGAATATTACATCGAATAGCTTCGGTAACGGCGTGATAAATAAGTGATTTCCTGCGTCAGCTGTGAGATATACGAAAACATCCTTCTTTTCGTTTATAATAGACTGAAAAGCCATTTTCTGATGCGCAGTGTTAAAATTTTAAAATTGTAAAATACTACAGACTTGTTGATAATAGCCCATGCGTGCGAAGGTCATTGAAGGTCGATCTTCCAGTTATCGTGCAGATGATTGTGATTGGTTAATTGCCGGGAAGTCAAATGTGTGGCGAATGTGAGCAGACGTTAGGTGAGGCCTCGGCCACTAACGTCTGCGCAGGAGGCTAATATGGCGCAAAGGCATCGTGCTGATTTGATGATGTGTTGTGCTGTTACGCGATCGAGTACTTCCGCGTTGAGTGATTTTTGTGTGGTAATATTGTGTGCCTATATTAATCAAGAATTCACTCGTTTATAATGAGTCCTTATAGTTTTACGCGAATTGCAATCCGAGGACACACATTATTGAATAGGAAATCACCACTTTTCTAACAATATCGTCCGACACCTAAACCCGCCGGCGCTAAGTGGTGCTATCAGCAATCACTCATACTGTTATGTGGCGCAGTTACAAGAACAAGATGTATTGTTTATCCTTATACTACCTTTACCGGCTAATACAAGTTAAATTAAGTTACAGCATATAGTATAAAATTACAGGTATTCGAATCAATTCAAAAGCAATAGGCCTTTATACAGTATAATATTTCGCAAGGTTTGACGCGCATGATATATGACGTGATACATGACCTTTTCTAAGAATCGCCCCCAAGTAACGAAGCAAACGATCACCAAAAATCAGTATAGTATTAACTGATCTTGATATGACACAGTCAATATTAGTTAATGAATATATTGTAGTTATTTTACTTGAAAAATTTCAGCTACACCGCTGAATGCCATGCAGTCGAATATCTTTTACTTAATATACATATAAGTAGCATTATAATCCAACTCTCCTAAGAAGCATGCCATATGATTCTGTCAGAATTTGTCAATTTATAGCCAAGCAGGGAATAAGAGTTACGCCGAAACACTTTCTGCATGCTTTTTTACAAAGTCGATTAACACTTTCGTCAGTGTTTCCCCCCTCCCGTCCCCAGCAGTATAATATGATTAGTATTCATAATTATCTGATCATGAGACAAGATTAGATGATAGTATTTCTGATTAGGATTTGTTTATACAAAATTACGATCTTATCAGAGTTGATCGTTCTGTTTATATGTAAAAAATTCTCTTAAATTATCTCGAACGCAAAGACCTGCTTATTATAGAGATAATCTCGAAGCAGTTCGTGTTGAGATAAGTATAAGCCTTCTACTTCACCGTTTATAGTTAGTACCACTTACAGACCTCCAAGTGCTTTGGTTGACTCTTTTGCCAAAATTGAGCAATTAGTGAAAATAATTGATGATGAAAATAAGGAATTTTACCTACTTGGCGACTTAAATGCCAATATGTTTGAGGTTTCAAATAATGCCACAAAAAATCTTAATTCAATCATTGAATTATACCAGCTATCACAAACAATTGGTTCTCCTACTCGCGAGACTATGCATGAATTCATCATCTCTATTAGATTGCATGTCTGTCTTACTTCCACTTCAAATAAATTAACTTTATCCGGAGTGGTAAAGACAGCTATTAGCGATCATTATATGATCTTCATTGTTCGGAAAACTAATCTCATTCCAAAGCTAAACCGCTATAAGAAAATCGAAGTTCGTAATTTCAAACACTTTAACGCTGAGAATTTTCAACTGACTTGCGCAATCAACCATCATGCTAGGCAATTATCCTGATAGGCAATTATCCTCTCTCCTCCGCAGAGCCTCCTTAAGTATTTACAAATAACTTACATGAAGTTTCCTGAATAAAAGTGAGCGCGCGCGGTGTGATGGTAAGATTGAAATGAAGTTGGGGAGGCTGTGCCAGATAATGCGACGAAGTTTGGCTTTTGAACCAAACTAGTTGTTTGACCTTTTTTTAAACTTGAAATCGACGGAAATGTGAAAGAAATTGAAATGAATCTTCATAATCTGAGTATCGAAGTTCAATAGAGTCATTTTTATAAAGAAATGTTGCAATTAAGAGGATATTTATAATCAGATAGCTCGTATCCATTGATATTCGTTTGCAATTTCTCAATATTTTTCGATGCAAATGGACAGAAGAAGATATTGATATTAAATTCACCCCAGGATACTCAAGTACGCCTGAAAATGAAAGTCGAAAACATGTTTTAACACCCCCGATGGTTGATCGAACTTCGCTACAAACGATTATATACGACGCCATATTGATTGCATTA